TATCCGAGTCCTTCTTTCAAAGGACATGCTTGAGGTTTCTAATGTGTTGGGCAAGGCAGAATGACCAAGATACTCCTGTGCTGGCCCATTGTGGCATCAGACAGCATCTGAGAGCCAGACTATGAGCCACAACATGAAGTAGGCTCAGGTTGGTGTATTTTTTTGGGCAAAGATGGTGGGATCTCAGCCTTGACTAGAGCTCCTAGACAACACCACCACAACTAACTGGATTCCCCACTGGCAGCAGCCCATTGAGAAGTCCCCTTCCTACAGTGGGCATACAGCAACCTCATTGCTGTTAGCCAGAGAGAGCAAACAGAAGAGGCTGTAAACCTCAGGGTGCAAACTACAACCCCCAACTCAGCTGCTTAGACTTGTTGAGACACTAGTCTCCCACAAGCACAATAAATAAGACATTAGCCAAGTCAATAGGGAGGATGTACAGGAATGAATCAGACAGCCTGCGTTTGCCCGGCAGCTGCCACTGGCCCTTCATGCAGACTTCACATTTGGACACATTCAGACTCCAGCCAGGGGACGGGATCACACCAAATCCTGGAGTCTAAAAATATGCAGACTCCCGCCCTGGAGAGCAGAGCCAGACGTGCAGATCTGCAAAGGCTCATGCAAGCTGTCAGAGGGAAACTGGGCCACGGACAGCCTCCCTCGGCATTGCCACAGCCAGAGGGGACATAACGCTGCTCCGTGAGCTGCTGAGTCAACCAGGACACCTCTGCCTAGAGCAGATGATCATGCCTAAGGCCAGCCCTGCATGCAATTAAAAATAAAACTTCGTCAGCTACCACTTCCCAACAAGTTTTACAGAAACCCTGCTCAGGTCCCATTACAGCCCACGGCTCACTGGTGCACTACCAAACCCACTATGCAAGTACTGAAAGGACAGGGGCTGGTGGAAACATCTTCCTGTCTTTGTTGCTAAAGCTTATTTATGCAAGACTCCAAAATTTCCTAGGCTCAAGTCTGCATAGGTTGCTACAGCAGGGCGGGGGGAACTTTTCCAAAATGAAGAAAAAAAGAGATCCTACAACAGATCTCGAGCTGTCGATGGGGTTAAAGAAAACCTTAACTGAAGGCAAAGTGAGGAAAAATGGAAGGGGGGGGTGGAGGAAGAGAAGAGACACTCTCCAGAAAGTTTGATTGCCTATGGCTGCCCCACATGCAAATAGCAGTCAGTAGCCTGGTGTAACCATAGTTACCTCACAGCTGGCCCATAATGCATCCGGGCTAGTTGGACTAGCTCAACAGAATCCTGGGATACTCAGCTCACTGCCCTATTATTGGGAGCAGGTTCTCGGGAAGAGCGAGAGAAAAGTCAGTCTATATGCTTGGGGGGGCCGGAGAGAAGCAGGAGAGAGAAATTAGGTGTCTCATGCTGAAAGTAGTAAATAGCTTTTCCTAAGGAGAATAGGTATAAACCACCACCAGCAACGAGCCTCTAACTAGTTCTGTACAATAGCTTTCAGAAGCCAGAAAAACCAAGGTCCAATGGGAGAGGTGTTTTAAATCGAGACAGGCATACTTGCTTCCACAGCAATGGTGTTTGCCAGACAAGGTCAACAGAACAAGGTCCTGGCCCAGAAGGACTAAATCTAAATACTTGGAAACAGTCCCAAGAATCCGAGACAGAGGCAATGAGAGCAGAAGACGGGGAAGGGAGAGACTCAGCCTTAGGGGAAGCAAGAAATAATAATTTGCACTTCTGTAGCACCAGGGCTATCAGAGCACTTTGGAAGCAATAATGAAGACAGGGAAGATGCCAATACCTATTTTACAAAAAAGGAGAAAACAGGTACAGACAAAAGTTGCTCACCCTAAAAGTCACACAGGAAGCCTGTGGCAGAGCAAAGATAGAACCAAGATCACCTATCCCCAACCACCCCCATGCCATGAACCATCCCTTGCTTATACAGTGAAGCCCTGTTTACGCGAAGGAAATTCTCTAATGTAACTTTCCATCACTATCAGGTCAGTTCCATGGGTATCTGCAGGTGGAGCTGAACTAGCATTAGCAATGATGGGAAGGGGTTTAAGTCTTTTTAAAAAGACAGTTTTAGAAAGTTTCCCCCCTAGCATAGGCTGGGCCTCAGAGTTTGGAAGTTTTCAGAGGAAGATTCCAGTCTAAGTCAGGCTTCACAACTGGCAGAATTCCGGCAAACTAACAATACAGGATTTGCCGAATCTGCTACGAAGAGTTTTTCAATGGCCAAATTTGCAAACATGGTACCACAGTGCTCTCCCTCGACTACAGCCGGAGTGCCTGGCACAGACATCATACAGCCTAGCGCCTCATAGTCCCCTGACCCTCCCATCCCCACTGTCTGAGAAAGAGGGAGAACTGAGGCTAAGTTACCACCTCAGCTGGCTTGCTTGTCATTTTCATTAGTCACAGTCCAACTGGACCCAAGAGAAAATGTAGAAATCCCACTTTCAACCGCACTCTGGAGCATGAGTGCTTCACCAAGGAGCTGCTTCTCAGATCACAGCACAACTTGGGGGGAAGCCGCGTAGACTGAAGAGTGTGAGAAATGGAAGAGTCAGAGGATCACTTGGACCCACCTCTGCTGGGCTTTGCCTCCAAGCTACTCAGGTTGTCATCTCTCTTTGCCCTCATGTTTGAGTAAGCATTGAGTCAGAGCTGTGGCAGCGTATTTTGTGAACCAAGTGGTTAGGGGTGCTTTTTTTGGGGGGGGGGGGAGGGAAGGGGTGAGGGGAAGGAGAATATTCAGCGGGAGAGAACTAACACTCTCTACAAGGTACCTGTACATGATCTCTTTCCCCACTCCCCCAACCTGGTCCTTTACAGTCAATAATTCTATGGAGAGAGAGACACCAAGACCTCTTCAAACAGCTCTCGCCGAGCACCTTCCATATGAGAAACAGGGTCTTAACATAAATCAGAATCAGTTACGTTTAACACGCGGTGCTGAGAATGCAGATTTTAGGGCAAGCATCTATATGGCCCTATCTCCCCAGACACACACTACAGTGACAGCAGAGTTCAACCGTTACACTTGCTTGTGTTTCAAACATCCTCCACTATGGTTTGGCCTCTGTAAACACAGTCCTACCAAGTTAGGACCAAGCACATAACACATTCTCCAACCTAGCTAAAGACAACTTAGGCATGGCTGTGGACTTAACTCACTTCAGTCCTATTCACACAAGCTGGGACAAACTAGAAACAGGCCAGAACCCAGATATTCAACTTCACACTTCAGATCTTAAACTATAAGGAAGAGATCTAGTGGGGGGGGAGGGGAGAAATGGGTGGAAGGGCAGTTGATCCCACATTAGTTTACTGTAGGAACAAGTGTTGGAGACAGGGTACTGGAGTAGGTGGACCCTGGAGCAGACCACACCTGACAATTCCTACGTGCCAAACCCTGGCAATTCCCCAAACTTTATGGGGAAGTTCAGACTGCTTGTACCAAGTCCCATCTCCAGTAAAATCACAGCTGAGCTTTAGGGCAACACCACATGTCTGGTTTAGGGTTTTACACCACGGCCATCACCACAGCATCCGAGTGCCCGCTGCATGCAATCAACACGGTGGTCAGAGCCATGCCAGCAGCAAGGGAATTTGAGCAATTGTTAAGAAGGGGGGTCTAAGCAACAGCTCCCCAAACCAGGGGTGGGGGGCAACACACAGACACTGACTTTGACCAGATGGATCTCACACCTGAAACTGGTCGATGTTTCACCCATGGTTACCCCGGACAGGGAGACTGTTGCCAGAAGCCTGCTAGCACCCACCATGCGTAAACAGTCCCTTACCAAGGCTATTCTGCCCCCGCATGCACAGACCCTGAGCAGAGAAAGTTTCGTTCCCGCTGCCCATGAGCCAAGGAAGAAACTCCCGCATCCCCACGCCCTCCCTGGAGCCGAGGATGGGGGAAGGTGGGGAAATAGGAGTCACACTCCTGCTGAAGCCCCCAGGAGGTAGAAATGAAACACAACAGACAACACAATCGAAGCCCTGCTAGCAAGGGAATGAGCAGGACGGTCCAAAAGGCTGCCCCGCCCCCCCCCCCCCATCCTGGGCATAACGGAGCTCCGTGAAAATCAGGCTCTTGAAAGTCATAAGTAATGAAACTCCCAGTAAAAAGGTGGGTGGCTGGTGGGTGGGCGGGCGGCGGGGGGTTCAACAAGGTGATACTGAACTCAACCTCTGAAGTGCAAGGGCGGATAGACCAGGAGGAGCCAGCAGGCGCCGCGGCCGGGAATCTCCCAGCCCTGGGGAGCGGGGGCCCTGCACCCGGAAATGTAATGCGCGAGGAGAGTGGAATGACACTGCGGCGGGGAAGCTCGCAGCCCAAGGAGGGCGCTTTGGGGGGGGGGGAGGAGAGGGAGGAGGGGCACTGCGGCGGGGGCTCGCAGCCCAGGAGGGCCCTGGGGGGGATGCGGGGGGGGAGGGGCACTGCGGCGGGGAAGCTCGCAGCCCGAGGAGGGCACTGGGGGGGATGCGGGGGGGGAGGGGCACTGCGGCGGGGAAGCTCGCAGCCCGAGGAGGGCACTGGGGGGGATGCGGGGGGGGAGGGGCACTGCGGCGGGGAAGCTCGCAGCCCGAGGAGGGCACTGGGGGGGGATGCGGGGGGGAGGGGCACTGCGGCGGGGAAGCTCGCAGCCCGAGGAGGGCACTGGGGGGGATGCGGGGGGGGAGGGGCACTGCGGCGGGGAAGCTCGCAGCCCGAGGAGGGCACTATGCGGGGGGGGGGAGCTCGCAGCCCGAGGAGGGCACTGGGGGGGCGCCGCCCGGGGATGCGGGGGGAGGAGGGGCACTGCGGCGGGGAAGCTCGCAGCCCGAGGAGGGCACTATGCGGGGGGGGGGAGCTCGCAGCCCGAGGAGGGCACTGGGGGGGGGCGCCGCCCGGGGATGCGGGGGGGAGGAGGGGCACTGCGGCGGGGAAGCTCGCAGCCCGAGGAGGGCACTATGCGGGGGGGGGGGGGGGAAGCTCGCAGCCCGGCCGTGCGGGGCTCACCGCGGTACGGCAGGCTCCCGGAGAGGCGCACGGTGACGGTGCCGGCCAGCGGCTCCCCGGGGCTGTAGACGACGCGGCTCTCGCTCAGGCGGATCTCGAACAGCTGCAGCTTCCCCATGGCCGGGCTGCGTCCCTGGCCGGCTGGCGGGAGGCTCTACCCGCTGCTAGTGACGCGCCGGCCGGGAATGTCCCTGCCTCTTAAAGGGCCAGCGCCGCCCCCGCCCCCGCCCGGGGCGGGGGGATGCCTAGGAGGTGTGTCCCGCACCCGCGCACCCCATCCCCGCACCCTACAGCTAGAGGAGGAGGAGGGACCCCGGCCTCGCGGTCTGATGCCCTGAGATCGGGATCTGGATCCGGATCCAGGCAGGAAGAAAGCCTGCTTCCCAGCACGGGCCTGTTTGTGTCTCTCTCTGCCCGTCTGTCTCATGGAGATAAAACCAATCGCCTGCAGCGGCTATGGGCAAAGGAACTGTGATCCAAATGCACCATTTCCTACCCTCCATGGTAATGAAAGGGGGAAACGGGATGGGCAGGTGCCCCTGAAAGATAAGCGCCATCTGCCCTTTATTTCCTTGCGGTGCAGGCGGTCGCCCTACTAGTGGGGAGGATGATGAAGAATCCAGCCTTCCTCAGCTGGGAGGGGTGGGACGCACCTTGCACCCGAGGTGCCAGGTTGTGAGACTGCTCTGGCCTCAGAACCATCTACCTCCCTCCCTCCCTGCCCCCGTCTCCAACCCTCTTGTATGTGCTGAGCAAGTCAATGCAGTCAAAATACCATTTATTTAGCAATTAACTGGTGTGACTTTAGTGCTGGTGAAAGGCTCCTCCTGGAGACTCAGGCCTGGGTGAGGACAGGCAGGTTGTGGACACTGGAAGAATTAATAAGCCCTGTTTATCCACAGAACGGGGATGGTATAGACAGCAGCCCTGCAAGCTTTCGCCCACACTGCTCCTTTCCTCAACTTTGGCTTTTAACAGGTTTCAGAGTAGCAGCCCTGTTAGTCTGTATCCGTAAAAAGAAAAGGAGGACTTGTGGCACCTTAGAGACTAACAAATTTATTAGAGCATAAGCTTTTGTGAGCTACAGCTCACTTCATCAGATGCATACAGGGGAAAATATAGTGGGGAGATTTTATATACACAGAGAACATGACACAATGGGTTTTACCATACACACTGTAACAAGAGTGATCACTTTTGATCACACCCATTGTTTCATGTTCTCTATGTATATAAAATCTCCCCACTATATTTTCCACTGTATGCATCTGATGAAGTGAACTGTAGCTCACGAAAGCTTATGCTCTAATAAATTTGTTAATCTCTAAGGTGCCACAAGTACTCCTTTTCTTTTTAGACTTTTAAGAGACTCCAGTTGAAATGACCCATTATTCTGTCCTGGGTTTCTCTATGATGAGACTGCCAGTAAAGAGGGAGGCAAGAACTGTTAGTTGTAATGGTAGATCCTGTGATGAGAATGGCTATCCAGTAGAAATTGACTTGAAACCCCAATTAATTTCACCTGGACCCCTTAGCAGCCATTAGCTGGGAAAGGGAACAGCTGTTGGTTACCACCAACCTGGCTGGATTCACACTGGTGATTAAGGCCTGGGCTCTGCAAGCACTTTTCTGAAAGTCTCCTAGCATTAGTACCGTCCCGCTAGTAGTAGCAAAAGTGGGAGTGCTCTGTCCCATTAATGATCCCATCCAAGGCACTTTACCAACGCTAGTAATTAAGCTTCACCACAACTCTTTGAAGTCAGTAGGCATAGAATGATAGGGTTATAAGACAGCAAAGGTCATCTAGTGCCAAGAGACAAGATTTGTTGTGTCTAAACCATCCAAGACAGGTGGATCTCTAGCCTCCTTATGAAAACTTCCAGTGAAGGAGCGTCCACAACCTCCCTAGGCGTCTGTGCCATTGTCCTACTGTTCTTACAGTTAGGAAGTTTTTCCTGAGATGTAATCTAGATCTGCTCTGCTATAGCTTGAACCCATTGCCGCTTGCCCTGCCCTCTGTGGCAAGAGAGAACAACTTTTCTTCATCTTTTTTTATGGCAGCCTTTTGTGAAGACTGCTATTGTGTCCCCCCTTAATCTCCACTTTTCCAAACTAAAGATTACATCCCTTTCATCATCTTTGTCGCTCCCTCTGGATCCTTTCCAGTTTCTCTACATCCTTTCTATACATTGGTGACCAACCTGGACACAACAGTACTCCAGCTGAGGCCTAACCAGCGCTGAGTAGAGACTTCCCATGACTTGCATGCTATGCCTCTGTTAATGTAACCTAAAATTGCATTTGCATTTTTTGCAACAGTATTGCATTGCTGACTCATGTTGAGGTTGTGATCCACAACAACTCCCAGATTCTTCTCAGCAGTGCTGTCACCAAGTCAGTTATCCCCCATTCTGTATTTGTGTGCGTTTGTGTTTTCTTCCTTAAGTGTAGCACCTTACATTTGTCTTTATTGAATTTCATTTTGTGGTCTATGGCTTAGTTCTCCAATGTATCACCCTCTGAATTTTAGCTTTATCCTCCAAAGTATTGGCAACTCTCCCAGCTTTGTGTCATCTGAAAACTTGATCCATACATTCTCTATTCCTACATTCAGGTCATTAATAAAGATGTTAACAACACCGGACCCAGAACACATCCCTATGGAATCCCACTTGAGACCTCCCTCCAATCTGATATCATTATTATCCCCTCTTTACACAGGGGAAACTGACGCAGAAAAGTGAAATGACATGCCCAAGGCCAAAGTGTGAATAAGTAGCAGAGCCAGGAATAGCACATAGGCACCCTATTCGCTGGTCTATCCATTAGGTATGCTCCCTATGCTGTAGTACAACTGCAAGCTGTAAATTTTATCTCTCTTTCTGGATAATGAGTATTTTTCTTATATGGATGGTTACGAAACCTCAGAATTGACTCTTTTGCCAGGAGCTACAAGGATCCATGGTTGCAGTTTGCTTAGCAATTTACGTAACATAACTATATGGACACAATGTCTTACACTTGAATGCCAACTCACTCACCATTCCCTACTCCTCACCTCTTGGTTGATTATGTTCTGCCAATGGGGTACGTATTTGTAGACTATTTACATACCTAATTATCTGCTCATCTGCAGCTACATGTATGCACTGAAAGTACAATTCTTATATAACAGCACATAAAGAAGCATGAGGCATGAAATTCACAGCTAGAGCTGGTGAAAAAAAGTATGTTATATTAACATTTTAATTAAATAATTTTTGTTTAATTTGAATTTTTTACAAAATTTTTTGACAAAAATGTCTAAACAAAAATTGTAGTTTAAAATAAAATGTTCTGAAATGTCTTCATGGGCGGGGAGGTATAATCCCACTTTCTTTTACTTTTTAAAAATCTCTCCCTTCCCCTCTTTTTTTCTGCTGAAAAAAGATACATTAAAAAAGTATGAGGAAGCAGGATTCTCCCTAAAATTTTAAAACAAATGTTTTGTTTGGAAAGTTCATCAAAAGACTAAAAGTGTTGAGGAATATGAAATGTGTCCTGGAAAAATGTAACTGTTGTCAAAATCCCAGGTTAAAAACAAATAACTGCATCTGTTCTCCTTTGGGACCAAAGACACCAGTCACTACCTGGGGAGCAAAGTGTAGCTGTATTTATGAAATAAAATAAGGATATCAATGTACACACACAAAGACCAGCAGTAAGTGCAAAATATTATTAGTATATTATAGAGCTATCTGTAAGGGGGAAGGTGTAATGGTTAAAGCATGGGAGTTTTCTTCTGAATCAGATCTAAGTCCCATTCCTTAGCCGTCTCTTCCTGTGTGACTTGGGCTGGTTGTGTCACCCCTCTGTTTCTCCATCTACAAACTGCGGATGGTAACACTTCCCTAGCCAACGGAGAGTGTGAGGCTGAATTTGTGAGGCAACCAGTGACTTTAGTGAGAAGTTCTATAGAAATGTCCCTAAATAACTACGTAATGACTGAGAGGCACAGACACACGGGCCAGTTATGTGAACACATCAAGGTGAGGCAACACCTCTTTATCTTTAGTGCAATTGCAAATCACAGGACCATTTCCAGACGGTTTGTGGTGCCAGGGGTGTGCTGTGGGAGCAAGGCACGCAGTGTGGACTTCTTACACTGAGGAGCACTGTGCACAATTCCTTGGCCTGGTGTCTAGGCAAGGTATTCATACTGGAGAGAAAGCCATGCAGCGTAATGAATGTCCCATAACGTCATAAGCCAGGCACCTGAGCTCCAGCCATGGTGGGGAGAAAAAAAAAATACTCATCTAGACAAAACCAAGGGAGCCAAAGCGTACAGCTGGGCTGAGTCAGGCCCCCTGGATTTATATCAAAAAGAAGATCAAGAGGTGACTTGACTATACTGTCTAAGCACCTTCACGGGTACTAACAGGGCTCTTTAATCAAGCGAAGAAGGGCATAACAAGAACCAATGACAGGAAACTGAAGCCTCATCTGAAAACATGCACCCCTCAAGCCAGCTAAGGTCTGGATCTTTTCTACTTCTGTTGCAGCCATTTGTAGATGAAGTAGCAAATACCAGGGTCATCCAGGTGAAGTCACACCACGGGTTTATTTATATACTGGTATTAAAACATTTCCCTTGCCATTTTCTGTCCTCAGCACACCGTAACATCTTAGCTGATTTGTGACCACCACACTCCATTGTCATTATTTATTTATGATAGCACCACTCCTGGCCTAGGACCCCACCGTGCGAAGCACAGTCCAAAAATATAACCAAATCAAGCAGATGTCTTTATTGAGCTATTTGCTATGACTCTGAGGTTGCCGCTAATCCCTGACCCATCCGTTTATTATTTGTACTCCCCCAGCACCTAGGAACCCCAGCCACCGAGAAGGACCCATTCATAGACTCACAGAGTTTAAAGCCAGAAGGGACCATTAGATCATCTAGTCTGACCTCCTGTCTAGCACAGGCCTTTACATTTCATATCTTTACTCCTGTGTTGATCCCAATAACTTGTGTTCAACTAACGCACCTTCCAGAAAGGCAGCCAGCCTTGATCAAGAGATGGGGAAGCCACCACTTCCCTTGGGAGTTTGTTCCCAGGGTTAATGACTCCCATCGTTAAAAATCTGTGCTCGTTTCTCATGTGAATTTGTCTGGCTTCAGCTTCCAGCCAATAGTTTTGTTCTGCCTAAAGACTAAAGAGCCCTTTAATACTCAGTATATTCTCCCTGTGAAGGTCCCTATACGCTATTATCAATTCAGCTCTCAAGCTATGCTGCTGTAGTGCTTCAGCGAAGATGGTACCCATGCTGATGGTTGTCCCATTGGTTTAGATATTCCACCTCCCCAAATGGCAGA